ATGCCTCCAATGAAAGATCAGGAAAATGTTGCACAGGAAAGAGCCATCCAATTACTCTTGTCTTCTTTCTCTCTTCTTTTTTCCCATAGGCAGTTGTCACAGCTTTAGAAGGCTAGGGCCAGATTGTTTAGAAACCAATTCACACATCATTAACAACATAAAGGTAGCACTGTACCTCTGAATGACAGAATTATGACTTGTCCTTGGATACATTGCATATGAAAACATTGTATAGTGCATTTAAACAAATAGTTGCGACAATGAATAAATAATGGAAGTAGCCATTGTATCAGAGTAACAGTACAGTACAAAAATATAGAAGAAATTTGTGGACAAAGAGATCACATCAAAGAATTGCCTACATGATCTAATACTTAACATCAGCTCTGTAAAGTGGCATCAAATGTTTCTCTTTTTTCTTTTATTCTTTTTTCCACAGAAAGCCAGCAATCTATCTGAAATACAATTTCTCAACCCATAATTGCTGACGTACTTGACAAGCTACTGACGCACATCAGTCTTTTTCATACATCCTCAGCTTGACGCTCCAACGTGTCAAAACACTCAGCACTACTCTAGTAATATACACAACAATATGCTACCACTCACAACACATAGCAATAAAGGAATAAGTCTTAACCTTAAATCACAGGCCTCCCATCTATGCCAGGTTGGCCTTATGCATCATAAAGCCTTGATCTTGTAAAGTTTTATAGTTCCACCAAGAGATGTAGCATGTCAAACCCTTTATTCGAGAAGGATTCCTGATTAAGGAAAATTCAAACAATAAAGGAGATCGCCAAGCAATAAGGCCGATTAACCAGAAAACTGACCTCATCAATTGCATAATTTAAGGTTAAGCCACCAGGGGGAACCCCCACAGTTTCCTTAGACTCTCAGAAGAGTCTAGATGATGAATAAAAGGCAAGATCAGATACAAGAAGCTGCAGTTATCTACGAAGCATAATATAAAAGTAAATTAGGCACCAAGTCATTTTACCTTGAAAACCGCAGGCTGCATATCTTCAACCTCTATGCATCGCATGTCACGGTCCTTCATCGGACCAAAAAGTTGTGCTCTGAACACAGGTGATCGAGCTGCAAGAACCAATCTATGAGCTGCAAAGATCTCATCATCAACTTTGAAAGATACATCAGTTCGCTCTCCACTTTCTAGAAGTTGACCAACATGTTGAGTAATGTTAGAGGGAGGCACAGGTATGTTATAAGACTTGGGTCCCTCGGTATGTGATCTAACAACACCAACACTACAACTAATTGACAGACAATCATCCTTGAGATAATCTGAAGCCTCCAAGGCAGTTCGTTTGAAGAAACGCTTATAACCCCTGTGTAATTAGACAAGGAATTATTTAATGGTAGACATGGGACCTAAAAGGAATAGCGAAAAATCTGAAATTTTAAATTTAACATAATGCATAAAATTAATAAGATAAGATATTAATAAAATTACTGTAACAAAACCTATCCTAAAATTAATCTAGGATCAGCCAAAAAGAAGCGCGGGTGAAGTTAGAAATTACACATAGTGAGATGAGAAATACAGCAATTGTTGCCAGCATACATGTGACGCGAATCGTGTATACGTTTAGTTGAGTCGTAAGCTGAGCAATCACCCAGGCCTAAATATATCCATGCATAAAATAGAGGAGAGACCTTACTTACCCTTTCACAGCATTCACATGCATGACTGCTCTCTAACAGATGTTTGTGGATCATCTGCAATTTACCTTTTTCTCACATGGGCAGTTGACAGATACAAAATAATCTGCATGCAATGTAACTATACTTCTATTTAAGTTCTGGGTGAAGTCATGACTTGTCCACCACCACCACAAAAAGTTAAAAGATTCATATAATACCCTCTTCTGGAGGAGCCCCAATATATATAGCCCTAGACATGCAACTTGATTAAGTTAGCCTATACATTATCCAAGATTATGTTGAACTTTTGACAAGTTCATGCAGTGTATTCCATGTTATAGCTCATGGGGCCCTATACACGACACAATCAGTGTCATATCTAGAATTGACAAAATGAAACAGCAGCCAAATGATATAAATTAGGTATAGCCAGTCCTACTTCTGTACTGCACCCCTCATTTGCAAATAATACCATCATACTAGTTCTTAGACCCATCTACAAACGGTAAACAATGTGAAATTTCTCCAAGGCTTAGAAATGCCAGACGGGATGATACGAATAATCAGACCATCCTCAGGGTTTATATTTCAACAGCGTCAGCAGGTTTTCAGTGGGCTTTTGGTGTTTTGGTAAACAGAATTCAACTCGTCTCCACCGAAACATTAGAACAACCAAATCCGCATGCATGTCACTAAAACCATAAATCCTACATAATTAACCCAGCTTCGTGCACCGCAGACCAACAACCATCCTTCAAACAGCTAGATTCAAGCAAACTGAGCAACATAACAATCAAAATCCAACACCCAAGCAAGATAAACTAGCCACACAAAACACATCAAAAATCCTAACCTCACAACAAAAAAGCAAGCAACTTGAACAAAACTCACCACATGCTCCCTCGATACTTGAGCGTATACGGCCCGTCCTGAAGCAACCTCCCAAAATGAGTATGGATCTTGTGCCTCTCCTTCCCGCTCTGATCCAGCATCGTCAGCTCGAACAAAGCCCTGACGTCGGTCCCCTCGCTCGCCAGCGCGATGAACAGCGACACATAGCTCGCATTATCCTCGGGGCTCTTGCCATCTGGGTAGAAGTAGATCGCCCACTCGAAGCCCCCGACGCTGAAAGAATCGGAGGCGATGTACTTTCCGATGCCGAGCCCCTTCGAAGAGAGTAGCCGGTGATCTTGAACTCGTGAGATCCGTTGATTGTGTTGGTGATCGAGGTTGAGGATGTTTCGGAGGGGGTTTGAGAGGAGAGGGAGGTCGAGGGGCCGGATTCGATGACCCTGCTCATTTTTTTTGGGGTGGAATCAGGGTTTTTTGAGGGGAAATGGGCGGTTCTAGGGTTAGGGTTTGGTCACTGAGAGATCGGAGCTGGGATCTCTCAGAGATTTCGGAGGGATCGATTGATGGGGGAGAGGAGAGAATTTGGGGATTTTGGGGGGTTTTTTTTTCTTCTTCTTTCGGAGGGTAAACGAACGAAGAAAGGATGAGGGAGTCGTTTCGGTTTTGGTTTTGTTCTCCGTCGGTCGGCTTGGTGGATTTTATATCCTATTCCTGTTATGGGTTTTTTTTTCTTTAATAAATTATTATAGAGAGCGCCTTTTTAGGCTAATTAGTACTTATTACTACAGTTTCCACTAATTTTTTGCATTATATGCGCGCACTTCTCATTTCGCAGCGCTTATATACACTAATTTAATTACGCTTTAACATCTCATGTTATACGACTTGAGAGGATTTCTCACCGGATTCTTTCGCGTGACGGTCACAACTCACAAGCCAATGATATAACTTTGTAGCCCTAAATTTGTTGAACTTACCGTTAAACCTATAAATAATTCTCTTTTAGAGTATGATTGGAGTAGGTTAAAAATAGGGTTTCGATATATTTAACGCCAAATTCAACAAATGATAATGGTTCAGTTATTCTAAATTTAGCTTATATATGCACATTGAACATTCGTTGGAGGCTGCTCAACACACCGCCACAACTACTTTGGAGAAGACAGTTGCTGCTACCGTAGCTTTAGAGAAGACTGCTGCAGTTAAGGGCCAATTTGGGGTCAGTTCAGTGATTGATTTTGGGAAGTTGAACCCGTTGACTTTCTCAGTAGAGGAGAGCCATCTAGAGGCCAAGCAGTGGCTCATGGATATGGAGAATCTTCTAACAGCAGCCCGAGTTCTTAAAATAGATAGAGTGTATGTCGTGAAGATTCGGTTGTCAGGGTTGGCTCGTATTGTAGTTGGTTGAGGAAGGTCGTTTGGAGGAGCTGATCAGCTGGAAGAGCTTTCTGGAGAAGTTCTTTCCTAAAACTGCTAAATTTAACATGGAGCAGGAGTTCATCAACTTGAGGCAGAGTAATCGCACTGTGGATGAGTATGCAACTAAGTTTCTAAAGCTTAGCAGGTTCACTCCCTACATGGTTGCTAAGGAGAATTCAACTGGGGCTTAACTAGGAGATCCAGTGACAGATTGTATCATTTCAATATTGGGACTTATAGTCAGGTGCTTGTTGGATTTTTTTGGTCAAAACCGCTTTCCAAAATGAGATTTCAAACTATATATATATATATATGAGAGGTTCTAATAAAAACCTAGAGAACTAAAAACCAATCCTAACCCTACATTCTATTTCATCCAATGATCAATATTAAAAATGGCAGAATTGTAATTAAATACACATCAGCTGACAAAATACCAGTAAAAGGGGTAATTTAGGAAAAGCGGCATTAATGAAACACGCTGTAATTAATTACCAGAAGCTATCGAACACTTCTTTCGACGGAAAAAACGATTCAGTTTCACTCTATTTTGAATCCAGTTTCATCTTCTCTTTACCCCAAGAACTAAACTTTCAGTTTCACTCTATTTTGAATCCAGTTTCATCTTCTCTTTACCCCAAGAACTAAACTCTTCACATTCTGTTGATTTCTCAACACTTAGGTTTCTTTCAACATCTCATTACAACTCGAACGAAGACGACCAGCAAGACTTCGACGATCGAGATGAAGAAAAACAACACAGAGACTCCAAAACCCTCGTCTTCAAGAAAGGGTAAAACGATTCCAACCCTCGTATTAAAAATGTAATTTTTTTTATTAAAGTTTGAACATTTTTCATAGATTCAGTGGGGAAAGGTTCGTAATTTAGACATGAATCACTTGCATGTTGTTGAATACTTTTTTTTTTAGCTTTATAAAATGTTACTGATGCATGTTCTAGTTTAGGGTTTTTATTTTTTAAATTTTCCTTTATCTTGTTAAAACAAACTAAGTTTTTCTTAATACTGTAAGATGTTTTCATTTGTTCTAAATGGGTAGCGATTAATTCTGGTTGTCTGGATTCTGCAATATGCACTCTACTTGAATCTCCTCGATTCACTTTAGTGAAACGAGATTCACTGCAGTGAATCGAGATTCACTAGAGTGAATCGCGATTCATTGGATGTATCTTTATTCACTCAAGTGAATAGCTATTTAGTGGAGTCAATCTGTATTCACTCAAACATAGAGAATCTCGATTCACTAATGTGAATCCTGATTCTTCGTAGAGAATTAAGATTTATATATTGGATGTTCTTACCAGTTATGGAAAAATGATTGCTCTTTAAACTTCAACTTTATCATGATTGTATGATTGTTTGTAAAAAATAACAAATATGATCCTAGGCCGAGTATATAGGATGGAAACTTTCCCAAATATGATCCAAGCCCAGGTAATTAGGATAGAAAAATTATATGCTTTATGTATACTAACAGTGAAATTAAACTGTAACGATGATCAGTTTTTCCTTGTTGTGTTGAGGGACGAGACACTGAAAGAATGTATGGTATGTCATGGAGTTGGTTTCATATCATTGAATCTGGATTCAATTTGCTGAAGCTCGATACAATTTGTTGAATTTGGATTCACTTTGCTAAATCTCAATACATTTGGTTGAATCTTGATTCACTGTAGTGAATCTCGATTCACTGTAGTGAATCTAGATTTACTTAAAGTGAATCTCGATTCACTACAGTGAAACACTATTGACTGCAACGATTCAATGGAGTGAATTGATATTCACTCAAGTGAATATCAATTCACTGCAGTGAAACGAGATTCATTTCAGCGAATCGCTATTCACTAAAGTGAATCGCGATATGGATTATAATATATATATTCAATAATGTGATTAAACCTTCATGCTTTCCATGCATTGTTTAAAGTCTGGTATCATTAAAAAATGAATTGTCATCGGTTTAGCAGGTCTACGATCTAGTTCAAGAAACAAACAAAAAGCATGTGTTGAGATGGTTGAGGTATTTACACCTATACCTCAACAGAGGAAAACACACACTGTGAACATGCAAAGCAGTGACGATGACTTCATCAACCCCCCAAATAATCCTGACAGTGAGGAAACATTAAAGCGTACAAGGGATGAAGACAATGAACAGACCCCAAAAAGGATGAAGAAGAAAAGGGTTGGTGTACTAAAAATCTTTAATTTTTTTTGTGTATTCAATGATGGATAATTTGATCTAATTATATTATTTTTCTCACTGGAGAAGGTTGTGAAAAAAAGATATGTGAGGTCTAACAGGGATGATGACCTCGTTAACCTCCCAAATAATCCGGCCGATGAGGAAACATCAAAGCGTAGTAGGGATGAAGACAATAAACAGATCACAAGAGGAAGGAAAAAGATGAAAAAGGTTAGTGTACTAAACATCTGTTTTTTTGGTATTAACTGATGGATAATTTGATATAATTATATTTTTTTGTCACTGGAGAAGTTTTTGAAAAAAAAAATGTGAGTTCTGAACCTAAGGAGTTGACTAGGATAAGGGTCTCTCCAAAGATATTCTCTGATATGGTTTTGTCACTCTCTGACTCCCAAAAAGAATGGGTGAGACTAGCTGGACTTGGAGGTCTTTTACAATTTGGATTAAAGGAACTGCCACATATGTTGGGATACCAGATTCTGCAGTCCTTTGACAGTGAATCCGTTGCGCTTAATCTTCCCAGAGGATCAATAAGTATCACAGAGGAAGATGTACATCAAGTGATGGGATTACCTCTGGGTAGGAAACGTATACCAGCCTCCAGTACTGGCAAGTCAGCATTGGTGGATGAATGGAGGGCTCAATTCACAGACAGAATTGGTTGGAAAATTACTCCAGGGGCTGTGTCTGAGAAACTGAAGCACAGTTCTGATGTTAACCTGTTTTTTAAACTGAATTTCTTGGTTCTCTTTCACAACTGCATGATCCAGTCGCTTAGCAATCCGTATGTCAACCAACGGATTCTAGTTCTTGGTGATAATGTTGATCAGTGCTCTGAATACAATTGGTGTTCTTTCTTGCTTGACTCATTGATAGAAAGCCAACACAAGTGGAAGGTTGACCCGACAAAACAATTCTACACGGGTCCTCTTGCATTTTTGATTGTAAGTCACTTGTATAATATTTATTTAATTTTACATTACTGTAGTTAAAGTATTTTTACTTGATGATTACTAATTGATGTGCTTTATTTCTTATTTCCGTCTTTCTAATTGTTCTATGTCGATCGGGTTCTGTTCAAAGGTAGGAGGTTGGTTGAGAGAACAACCCCTACATTTTTAGGATGGACTGACTTCGCCTTGAAGGAAAGACAGTCAGAGGAAATAAGTACAAATTCATTTGGCAAAGGTGCATTTACAGAGAGGGTTGAACTTGCACCTTCATCTCGAATGCAGAGTACTATTGGAAACTCTCCTAAAAGTGTTGATACAATTAGAAAGGTTAGCAAATTAAGTTGCAGTACTTTGTTTATTCAATTTAATATCGATTCAGTAGGATTGAATCTCGGTTCACTTAAACTGAATGTCGATCCAGATCAATGAATCGTTTTACTAGTAATGAATCTCGTTTCAAATCAGTGATTATCGATTAAGTTAAACTGAATTCTGATTCACTTAAGTGAATCTGGATTCAGTGATACTCAATATCGATCTATTGAAATGAATCTGGATTCACTACTACTGAATCTCGATTCATTGAAGTGAAACTAGAATGAATCTAGATTCACTACTACTGAATCTTGATTCAAATACATCGAATGTAATATCAATCTATCGAATCTTGTCTCTCGCCATGTTAATAATTTATGGTGACCAATGTCTGTGATATTCAAAATGCATGATTGTATTGAGAGGGTTCAACGGAGAGCTGCAGAGCTGGAATCTGCAAAAAATAGATATGATGCTGAGTGTGAGACAATGAGAAAGCTGTTCCCCAATGACAATGAGCTCTTTCAAATTCAACAGAGAGTTTCAAATGTTCTTGTGCAGGGGTTTGGACATCGTGTAAGTACCTGTGACGATGAAACAGCTGTGGGAAACATTGTTGATGATACCCCTAATGTGAACACCAAGGTGAGTAGAGATATGCATGGTTCCCCAGCTGTTGATCCAATATCAGCTGAGATACCACAAACCCAAGTCTCCCCAAAGTTTGTTCAAGAAGTTGATAAGATTATAGAGTCTGTTAGCA